ATGATATACCTTGAAAGTGTCAGCCTCATTAAATTAATGCCAGATGTAATACTGACATCTTCAAGGCACACAATCCTTTTTCATAAAATAATTTTCGCTGATATATAAAGAATGCTCCTATAAATGCCAAAATAATTTTATTTTTAATTTAGCCATTTTAGCAATTCTTTTCAATAAAATCTGTACAAGGCATTGAGCCAGACACTGGGGGAGCCATAAAGATAAACAGATATACTTCCTCCAGGAACTCGAAGTCTTGAAAAAGAGATAGGCCACTTCAGATCATTCTCTTGTGGGGCATAGCATGACAAACGACGGAAAAGAGGTGCAGAGAAGTGCTGTGAATGCACCAAGGCAGGAGAGATTACTTCTGGGTTGAATAGGGAGAACTTCCTGGAAGAAACAGTCTTGATAAAGAATGGGGAAGGTCTGTCAAACTCAATGGCAGGGACAGGTATTCAGGGTAGCAAGGAACTAAAGCAAAGTCACTAGGGCAGGGATGCAGGGCATAGTTGGAGGTCACAGATGGAGATGCAGATGAGACAGGAAAGGGGGTCAGGTCCCCATTGTCAGCATGATAAATGCCGTGGTCAGGAGGTTAGACTTTATTCTGGGATAATGGACAAGCATTGTCTCACTCTAGGCTTTGGAACTAAGTAAACGACATGATCAGAGTAAAATTCAATTCAATTCAGCAAAATGTATTGAGTAGCAACGATGCACCCAGCCCTGTACTTGACGTAGTGCATTCAGAAACCATCTTAGTGTTGCCATCAATGTCCCTAGAGTCTAGTGGGGGATGGATATATGAACAGATAATGTCAACAAAAATAGTATATTGAGCTCTGTTAAATAAGCAGGAGGCCATTGGCCTGAGGTTCTCTCCCTATTTTCAGTTCCTACTTAATAAACTGAAACCTAACTTAGGAGTATATTTTTTATAACAAATAGTTGGGTTTCGGTCAATCATAAACAACTGAGCTTTAGCCAATCCCAGGCACCCAACTGATCCAACTACACCCAAATAAGGCAAACACCTAATGGTAGCCAACAGATAATATCTTTGCTTTGCTTCTGTGTTTGGCCTGTAAAACTTGCTACTCATGCTGCTGGATGGAGCCCTCTCACCTCTTCTGGTTCTGATTTCTACCCAATTCAGGAATCATTCTTTGCTCAAATGAACTCTGTTAAATTTAGTTTGTCTAAAATGTCTATTTAACAGCTCATATAGATATATCTAAAGGAGACTATGGGAACCCACAGAAAGTAATATGGGGGCTAAGGGAGAAGTTGGTACCTAACATGAGTCTTACAAGGACTTAAAGAGTTATTTGAATGAAGAGAAGAAAGAAGGATATTCCAGTTTAAGAGAATACTGTGATCAAAATCACAGAATATCAAATAATACAGGATGCATAAAAAAGACAGCAGCTCCATTTTACTAGTGGCTCAGAGTGAGGCAGAGAGATGGGAGTGAGGGAGAAGAGGGGATGAGGGGCAGGGACTGTGCTTTGGAAACTTCGCTCAGGATGGAGGCAGGGAAACCAGGAGGCTATTACAGAAGTGCAGTCCCACAGGTGTTACAGTAAGGAGGCACACCCCAAATAGAAATTCCAAACTTTCCATGGGAGTCTCACTTAAAGGGGTTCAAGTATATATTTTTCCACACAACTCTTATTAATACTTCAAGTTATTTCCTAATCTTCAGCATCCTCAGAACTCCCATTCCTATTCCAGAAGAACCCTCACCCCATCTTCGGTATTTCATTCCCACCACCTGTTTTTTCAATCCCCTTTCTCTTCTCTGCCTTTCCAGCAGACCACACTTGCCCTGCGAGTATTATACTTTTGCTCTCTGTTTGGTTTTCTGCACCTACTCCAAATCTTTACACACAGATTTTTATACTCTCTTCTCTGCCAATAGGGCTTGATGGTGTCAGAGCAAGTGGGCTATTTTGTAATGAGGATAGGGGTTGTGGGAGGCTCTGAATTCACATATGTTAACAATTTGGGGCCAGTTACAATAATTAAAATATAAGACAATCAGAAAGAGCTAGAGAAGTGGCAGTATAATGGAATAGAAGACATGGAAGTGAGATAACTTGTAGAAACATAGTCAGGGCCGAACAAGTAACCAAAGTAGGACAGCGGCAGAGAGAGGTAGGACTTTAAAATTGCTTTGTAGTTTGAATCTAGAATGAATAACAGTAGTGTGATATTATTCACCATGTCTGGGGGATACAAACAGAGAAACATAAGAGATAATAACAGAAGATGATAAACTTGGCTTTGTATATGCTTAGCCTGAGGTGTCAACAAGGTCATATTTAAGAACCAGAGCACTTCAATTTGATGCCATATACCAGCTATCTCTAAACCTGTGTGTTACAAATCACCATTTGTAATCAAAATCAAACTCTTTTGGAAAATGACCTACAATAGCCTGTTCTTGGAGATTGTTTGTACATGGGTAATGCTTGCAGGAAATAAACCCATTTAACTTTGTTTCCAACATTCTTCCTACCCACCCCCTCCCTTCTTTTTTTCTCAGAATACCTCAGCATCCTCGGGAGTGCTTTTTTTCAGGGACAATCCTCTAAGAAATGCTCATTAAAACACTACAGGTCTCTAATCAGGGGAGGTTTAAGACAGAAGGAACATGGTGTGGGAGAAGGCAGTTTGTTTGCATGGGAGTGAGAGTTGAAGCATTATGAACTGCTGAATCACCAAGAGTGAACAGAAAGAGAAAAGGGGGCTGGAGACAGAACATTTATAAACACCATTTGATATCTCAAATGACACGTGGAGAATATATTTGGAAGGACAGCATGTTGTAATAGCAAAATCATGTGTTTCAGGGTGATCTAATCTTTTTAAGATTCCATTTTCTTTCTGAAAATTGATGTCTACCTTGTTGGGTGGTACTGAGATCTAAAATAGTTATGTGAAACATCTTCTACATAGAAAACACATAATTCACTCCCAATAAATACTATTGTTAATACTGTTTTCATTTAAGTTTTTCTTGATAAATTGAAGCAAAACCTTGATGAATACACTGTGGCATTAAAACTTGAATGTTGGACAATTACATACGAGAAATCTCAGTCATTTGTATCAATACCCTAATACAGGGAAGCAATGCTAGTTCAGACAAGCCTCAAGCAGTAATAGCATGGTACAGGAATAGCACCCATAGTAACTAGGCAATGAAAGAAGACACCATAGGAATTTCCCTATAGTACCAGGAACTACGTTTTTTTCAGTATTTTTCATGAAGAGATGCTGGAAGCTAATATCTGAGCCTCAGTGAATACATTTGCTCTCCATATAAAATCCTAAGCTAAAAACCCCTTCCATGTGAATGACTGTGGGTATCAAATTGTCATGACGCGACATCCTCTGACAATACTCATTACCTGGTACCCTCAGGGTGAGACCAGGGGAAAGGCGTCCACAACAAAATACTGGCTAATGAGATATATTTCTGTCTAATATATCACAGTGATACAAATGCAAGCCTTAGTCATTTTCAATATTGGACAATTGAGCATACAAGCCCAAAAAAGATTCTGAATTTAGAGTTAAAAGTTCTGTTAACTGCCACAGCAGATTAGATTTTCTGTTCTCCAGCAAAAAATGGGGGCAATTACCAAGATTTTACCCAAGTCAATTCATTCCAAACCCCAAAGGAATGGTCACCAGAATTTATTATCTTGCAGTCTTTTGGAGGGCAGCCTCATAGGTCTCAGGTCTGTCTGAGGAGCCTGGTGTAGTTAAGACTGGGCGTTAACATGACTGGTCAGTGTTCTTAATAAAGAAGACATTCCATAGCAACCAAGATGTGAGTGAAAAGCATGACCAAAAGGATGGCAATCAAGTCATTGCAGAGGTGTCTGAGGCATTCGGGTTATTCAGATCCTTGGGAAGGAACAGCGGCAGGGTGACAGATTTATGGTCATGGACACACAGGGCATTGTGGCAGGAGATGCTCACATGTTATTCTCTGAGCAAACATAGGCTAGCGTGTAAATGAAATTTGCCATAGAAATTCATGGGGTTTCTCTAGGTGAGTACTTGCGGGAGAAAATGGACAACTATGTACTCTGATTGGTTTACATGGTCACTTGCCTAAAATCACAAGACTGGGGCAGAGTGAATATATATATTATAAAGATAAATATATTTATATATATAAATATATAAAGATATATATTTATATTATATATATTATATTTTATATTTATATATTTATATAAAAATTTATATTTATATATATTCACTGGGACAGATTGAATGTATATATATAAAGATATATATATATTCAATATATAATATATTTATAAGATATATATATTCTATATACATATATATATTCAATATATATGTATCTTTATATATATATATTCAATCTGTCCCAGTGAATATATATAAAAAATATCTTAAACATATATATTATATATGTATGTATAAAAAACAATGTTAACTTAAATGTGTCCCGAAGACTGGCAGTGTCAGCATTGCCTGAATCTAGAATTACCCAAAAGTGCAAATTCCCAGGCCCCACCCTAGGCATGGAGGAAAACGGAATCTCTGAGTAATTTGTTTTAAGAAGCTTTCAGGTCATTCTTACATACAGTAAAGTTTAAGAAGCACTGCTCTAGACCTTTATCTGATGGGTCAATAATTGACACATCTCTCCACTTCAGCCTACTCCCCAGACTAGGCTGGCTTCTTCATCTTTCTGCCCTGAGTTTCCGGTTCTCTTCCTCTGACAGCATTGGACTAGACCATCTGATTACATATAAGAGCTCAGTTTGGAATTTTTATCACTCACAAAAATCAAGAAACTGTGCAGAGGCAGTAAAAATACTAATTTTTAGCTTTTTGATTTGGTTTGCAGCAGACAAAACTCATTTATAGCTTTTTTCCAAGCTCTATTCATTTCCAAGTTAGCAATGATGTAAATAAAGGAATGGGAAAAGGAGGAAAACACTTACATGAGCTATAAGTTGCTCCTGGGAAGCTTTTACTTCAGCTTGCAATTTCTCGATGCACTGAAAAGGAGAAAAGTTTAGAAACCAAGTATGTAACTCTTTCTTTTGCATATTCGAAGCATTGCAGACATATCTGTGTATCAGTTTTCAAATCTTGTGAATGGTAGCATTATTTCAGCTACATTTTTTGAAAATCATTATTGGAGAAATCATCCCCCTTTTCCTATTTCTCTTCCATTCTATGGAAGGCCCAAAGAAAAAACACACAAATATATTAAGAATATATTAATATATATGTAACATATATGTATATATATAATATATATTAATATATATATGTCTGAATAAGGTAATGTTAGCTTGATGTGCTGTGGTTAATGCAAACACCCCTATATCATATATATGTATATATATATACACACACACACACACACACACACACTCTATATATATCTATATATCTATATACCTCCACATGAAAACATATTCATATATTCCAAAAACAGATACAAACCCTTTAGATTGAACAAAGATGTAAATTTATATAATGATATATATAAATGCTCAGATATTCAGAAAGCAATCATTTCTTATAAAGTAATTGATTAAAAAACACATGCCGAATGTTAGAATCCTCTTGTTTTACTGCACAGAAAGAAACTACTCCTTGTTTAACCTTGACAACTAAGAGACATTTGTGCAGTCAATGTCATTTATAAAATAAATAGAATATTTAGCTAATATTATTCAAAAAGATGCATATCAAACTTTAAATCTACTACTAGCCAAATAAATTATATGTCAATATTCACCAGGGAATAAAATTACTTTTAGCAAATACAAATATCGTTATTTGCTATTGTGAACTTGAAAATATGAACTTTTAATCCAGACTGAAATGGCTTTGCAGAATTGTCAGTTCATATAAAATTAGGTAACTTTTAAAGTAAAGATGACTTTGTCCTACAACATACCTGGTCTTTTACAAGAACCATTTTTTCGTATGGTTCCTCACTGGCTTCCTTGTGGTTCACAGCTTCCAGTTTTTCCTCTAGCCACAATACTTGTTCAAGCAGTTTTGATTTTGTTCCTTCAGAGACTGAAAGCTGAAGATATTTTCTTTATAAGGGCGTGTAAATACAGTAATATTTTAAAAGCTCCTTTTAAAAATTCAACTTATAAATAATTTATCTTCCACCAATATCTATTAAATATGAAAATAGCTTCTGGAACATTTCTCATAGATGATAAATTAGCATAGAGAAAGAAGGAAAAATTGATTTTATTTATTGTTTATAATTAAGATCTTTCTAAACAGGAGGTGAATCCACATAGTTACAATGGGCAGACAAATTTCCTAAAAATCTCAACACTCATCTTCATTGTGTTTCAATATTGTACTTTATTTGTACAGCCGAATCTGAAACTAGTATTGTGGTTTACATATGGTCTTTGAAATGTAACTCTTGGGGAGGCTACAGCTCTCTAGAAGGAGTGGGAGTTCTGACTCCCTTGAATGTTCACCATAGAAGCAGCAGGGTGCATTTAACTAGGGAATATGCAGGAATTTCAAGTTAAAGTCTGATCAAAGGCAGATCTATACTAAGCCACAACCAAAAAATTCCTAGCAATGACTTGTCTTGGTTTGACTGTTTGTAGATTCCTCTTGAGGAAAGTGGTAGTTTGATAGTCCTTAGTCTCTCATTCCCCTGGAGAGGGCCTGTACTAGCTTCTCCTTTCATTCTGGCAGCTATAGTGCTTTTTCTCTATAGTTCAGCAACAATCCTTAAAGATTCACTGGAATCCTTAAAGGCTGTCCTGGAAAAAAACACACGATTTTGTATTCACTGCAACTTCTAGGGTTTTCTCTAAAGCATGAATTATCTCTACATCTCTTTTGCATTACTCTGAAAGTTATTGCAAGGCATACTGTCTCATCTTGAAAAAATTTGATTGTTCTTAAATTTTTAAAGACAAACTACCAAATGTGGAAGCACAAAGAGGTCAGTCTGCCAAGGAAACAAGCACATCATCTCTACTGGTCCATCATATACTGGCATATCGTATCTATGGTGAACATATCATACATACTGGCACTGAACCATCCAGCCACACACTCGTTCACTGGGCAAATGTTTGTTCAGTTGCCTCCCTCCACAGCTGTTGTGTTATGTGCTGCAGATTAAGAAAGTGCAAAATAAGGTTTAGAGGGAACACACATGTTACGAACTGTTGGCCATGCCTTTTGGCTCTTGGTGGCCTTGAAGACCTGTGGTGCTCCTCATGATCACTAACATGTTTAACTCCTGAGTGCATGGTGGTTTAGAATTACAGTCTGGCTTTTCTGCCTACCCTTCTATTTTATTAGAGACATAGTATAGCGTAAGGGTTAAAGCCATAAACTCTTATGTCATTATCCTTTGGGTAAAAAAATCTCATTTTTTTTTTACAAAAATTAGCCAGGCACGGTGGCAGGTGCCTGTATTCCCAGCTACGAGGGAGGCTGAGGCAGGAGAATCACTTAAACCTGCGAGGCAGAGGTTGCAGTGAGGCAAGATCTCAGTTTTGCTGTTTACTACCTGTGTGATCTCAGTAAGTTACTTAGCTTCCCTGGGCTTGAGTTTTCAAATCTGTAAATAGCAATGGGAATCAAAAGAATACTACTTATCCCATGGTTTGGTTGTGAGGATTACATGAGTTTAAAAAACAGAAATGCTTAGAACAATGCCTGGAACAGATCAAGCATCTAGCAGCTCTTAAAATGATTCTTCTACCTCTTCTAGATCACAGTAGGTATTCTTTTGGGTTTTACCTACATATTTATCAAATTTTTTTTTTTGAGATAGAGTCTCACCTCGTCACCCAAGTTAGAATGCAATGGTTCAATCTCTGCTCTGCAACGTTCACCTCTAGGGCTCAAGTGATCCTCTCACCTCAACCTCCCAAGAAGGTGGGACTGCAGGTGAACACCATCATGCCTGGCTAATTCTTTGTATTTTTGATAGAGATGAGTTTTCACCATGTTGCCCAGGCTGGTCTTGACCTCCTGAGCTCAAGTGATCTGCCTACCTTGACCTCCCAAAGTGCTGAGATTACAGGTGTGAGCCACTGTGCCTGGCCTATTTATCAAATTGTAAAGCAAAAACAAAATATCTGAAGATGTCATAACCTTTATGAGCTGCATACCATGAACTCAAACTATATTTCATTTGTTCATTTCCTGTAACAACTCTAATCTTCAGGGAAAACTCCTCTCTATGTCCGGAATTATTTTTTTCTCAAATATTATATCTCTTAGTTGGGCCCATTTTGTTCCCATATCCCGTCTGTTATGTGATCCATTGTTACCATTTTGTTGTCTTTCTTTTAAATCTATCTTCTCTTGTTTAAAAGCCTTTCTTCATTCACTAAATAGGCATCATTTATTCAATCATTTGTTAAAGAAATAAGTTGGACGTTTATTATATGTAAGAATATATAGATTAAAAAATGAAAACAGTATTGTTCACATCCTCAAAAAATTCGTACTTTAGCCAGAAAGTCAGACCATTTAAAAACAGCTGTTATATAATGCAAAACTATATAGGTGAATAAATAATATTAATAATACTTAACATTTATTGGGCACTCACTACATACCAGACAGTCTGTTTTCAAATTTATTTTAGTATTGCAATTTATCTTCAAAACATCCTAAAGGTTCATTCTGTTATAGCTCCCATTTTGCCGATAAGAAAATTGAGTTTCAGCAGAATTAGCTAACTTATCAAAGGATATAGCAAGTAACTTCTGGAATTCAAGTTTTCAGTAGTGGACATCAGGTTTGACTTCCTACACCCAAATTTGACCCCAGCTACAAAGTAGGCCCTGGTCATCATGACAATTTTATCCTCTTTGCTGTTGATTGGTTCAGGAACCAAGGCATGAACTAATCAGAGCCTGGCTTTCCTATGGCAAAGTTATTGTATAAGGAGATGTGACCTAATTTGGGTTACCCACACTGTAAAGAAGTGGAGAGTGATCTGGAGAAGCACCTTCTGTCACCAACCAGACGTAAATGCTATTATGGCCATCCTACATCCATCAGGAAACCAGGCACTCAGAGAGGAAGAGTAAACAACAGAAAAAAACTTAAGTTCTGGCTGACGTTGTTAAAGTGCTCTATTAACTAATCCTGAAGCATACCCTACCTTGCAACTTGCACTTAGTGAGCCATAAGTTCTTTTATTAAGGAGTTGAGTTTTCTATTACTTGTTGCCATAAGTATTCTACTGATACGTTGTTTGGTTCCAAGATTCCATGCTCTTGACCACAAGTGAGAAAAGTTAATGAAAAACAGCAGAAACTAACATATATTTGGTAGCTACAGTATACTAGGCATTCTGCTGGGTGCTGCCTATATAAATGTTACCTTCTGCCATTGCTCAAAACCCTATCAGCAATTTTCTTTACATTTTTTGTTATCATCATTGTAAAGATTGAGAAACTAAATGCTTTAGTGGTGAATTAACTTGCATAAAATTCTACAGCTAATAAGAAGAGGTTAGAGTTGGGCCCTCATTTGCCTGCCTCCATCCGTGGATTTTATATCGTATTCAAATCCTGACTCTGAGGCTGCCTGTCACAATGAGGCCGGTGATGTTTTTTTCCTTATCATGTGGACTTCAATCTTTCTCAGGTTGTTAACATATTCTTAAAGGAAATTTTTTTTCTAAGACCTAAGTACTCTCTCTAACCCACCATCTTGCTTCCTTTTTATATAGACACCAGCTCCTTATTTCCTTTCCTTTTTAAAGAAGTTTCTTACTAAATATCTCTTTGATTCAGATCCATTTAGCTCAGGTTCAGCTTAAGACTAAGAAATGTTGACTTAGAATCAGGATATCTATGTTTTAGTCTTAATTCCACAGATCACTGGCTCTATAACCTTGGTGCCCATAACAGAATTTTTAAAATAATTTCAACTTTTTTTTTAGATTCAGAAGTATATGTACAGATTTGCTACAAATCAAGAACTCAACCCCTTTTACAATAGCTGCAAAAATAAAATAAAATAAAATAACTTAGGAATATACATAACCAAGGAGGTAAAAGACCTCTATGAGGAAAACTACAACCACTGCTGAAAGAAATCATAGAGAACACAAACAAATGGAAATACATCCCATGCTCATGGATGAGTAGAATCAATATTGTGAAAATGACCGTACTGCCAAAAACAAACTACAAAATCGACACAATTCCCATCAAAATACCACCATCATTCTTCACAGAATTAGAAAAAAAATTCTAAAATTAATGTAGAACCAAAAAAGAGCCTGCATATCCAAAGCAAGAGTAAACAAAAAGAACAAATTTAGAGGCATCACATTACCTGATTTCAATCTAAACTATAAGGCCATAGTCATCAAAACAGCATGGTACTGGTATAAAAATAGGGATATAGACCAATGAAACAGAATAGAGAATCCAAAAATAAACCCAAATACTTACAGCCAACTGATCTTTGACAAAGCAAACAAAACCATAATGTAGGGAAAGAACACCCTTTTCAACAAATGGTGCTGGGATAAATGGCTAGCCACAAGTCAGAGAATAAAATTTGATCCTCATCTCTCACTTTATACAAAAATCAACTTAAGATGGATTAAGGACTTAAATCTAATACCTAAAACTATAAAAACTCTAGAAGATAACATTGGAAAAACCCTTCTAGATATCGGGTTAGGCAAGAATTTCATGACCAAGAACCCAAAAGCAAATGCAATAAAAATAGCTGAAATATAATTAAAATAAAGATTTTAATTAAATTAAAATGGAATTTTAAATTGTTAAGATTTTGTCATGCAAAAGGAAGAGTCAGCAAAGTAAACAGACAACCCACAGAGTGGGAGAAAATCTTCACAATCTATACATCTGACAAGGACTAACAACCAGAATTTACAACAAACTCAAACAAATCAGCAAGAAAAAAAACAAACAATCCCATCAAAAAGTGGGCTAAGGACGTGAATAGACAATTCTGAAAATGAGATATACAAATGGCCAACATATGAAAAAATGTTCAGCATCACTAATGATCAGGGAAATGCAACTCAAAACCACA